CAAGATCAAATCTTGACCATCACAATGAACGGAACTTCCCTGAAGACGGTAGTAGATTAATAGTCGAAACGTAGGATACAACTAGTTAGTAATTAGTAGGTGACTTAAAAAGTTACTAATTAATAATTAGATTTAGGTGATCGTATAAGTTATTAACAACCACAATTATTCGTTTATATAAACTTGCCAATAGCGAAATCGGTCAAAGAAAACTGATTTATTCTGTTTCTACCAGCTCTAGGTTGAGCTTCAGTTAATGTTTTACACTATAGAGCAAACACAAGGCAAGATAACTATTATAGTTTATAAACGTACACTATGTATCACGTTTATGTGCTTTTTATTATTGACGTAAAATTTGCAATATTAGAAGCTTTACCTGCAGGGTACTGGGATAATACTTTGTGCTGAAGAAAGTGATTCATCAGTTGCTATACTTTTCTTTACCGTTTCGGCAACTTCCATGCTGGAAACTATGAACTGAAATAGAATGTCACGATGCACGTTGAACCTACATATAGGTCGGAATCCCTAACAGAATCACTGTCTATTTCTCAATGCGCACGTGTGTTTATGAATCCACCTGGGACGCATACCCTTAACAGACTCAGTTCAACTTCACAGTTTCATTCATCACGAAGCACTAGTGCTGCTCTCTGTCGGAGAGCCTTTACGTGGCAAACTTCTCTGAATGCTGTTTTAGGGGCCATGCATGACCCTCAAACAGGTTCTGTTCAAGTCGAGTGACATTCTTAGTCTTGAAAAGAAGAACTATCTTGGCAGTAGAGCAACAATAAAAATGTTCACATGACATTTAAGAATTAGATAATGGATGATCTAATGTTGCTTAAATAAACTAATTTATTTAACTAAAGAGTCCAGCTGGAAAACTCTTGCAAAGTCTAACATAAATTTTTCTACAGAATCTGTAGATTTGCTTAAACTTCTGTAGTATATGGGAACAAAATTTGTAAGAAATATAATAAAATATTTGTTTTTAACTCACTTAACCTCACAGTCTGTAATTATGAAAAGGAATAAGCCAATTAATTCGTATGATTAAATTTTTTATATAATAGCTAAGTATTTATTACATACGTAGACTTCGATAAGTTGACTTATACGATATTTAACGTGACTTATTTAACAGTGTACTTTAAAACATCATTTTTTGTTTTTAATTGTTTGTTTGTAATTAAGCACAAAGCTACACAATCGGCTATCTGTGCTCTGCCCACCACGGGTATCGAAACCCGGATTCTAGCGTTGTAAGTCTACAGACATACCGCTGTGCCACTGGGGGGCTTTTTGTTTTTAATAAGCCAGATTACATCATGAGTTCAGAACACAAAGTTCTTACAGTATTCCTGACTTTTCCTTTTACCTTGAAAGTGGTGAACGTAAAGCTTTTCGCTATAGGGAGTAACATTACTTAATATTTCTGTGGTTCGCCTGTCAGGCTATGAATCGAAGGATCCAGGGTTCGAGACACGCTATCGCTGAGTACGCTCCGCACTTTCAGCTTTGATCATGTTTTAAAAGTGACAGTCACACGTATTATTCAGAAGTATATTTGTAGTTAAGCACAAAGCTACACAGTGGGATATCTGTGCTCTGCCCACCACGAGTATCGAACCACGCTTTCTAGCGTTGTAACTCCGTAGACATACCGCAGTGTCACTGGAGGGATATTCACTAAATAACTGTTTAAATAAGAGAAAACTTTCTTAACTTCAAGAATAACCTAGGTTGAAAGTGAAACGTTAACAGTGCCCAAAATATAACGTTTCAGACGTAATGGCCTTTGACACTGATGTCTCGTCCCATTGATGTGTCTGATAAAAACCAGGTGTCATTAACGCTATTTGTCCTTGTCTTTATCAGGGATTTCTTTCCTACGCATGAAAAACCATTTGATGCAGGCTGGAGTTAACGTTTCATTGCTCACATAAATGTTGCTACAAAAATGTATTAAGCACCTGTTTCAAAACCACCTTCGACACGACACTCGATTCAGCACAAGGTAAGGTCATGAATTGCGAAATCGTATCCCCCCCGAGTAGGTAAATTTGTAGACTTCCAAAGATAAAGTTCAATATCCTACTGTATAGCTTTTGCGCTGAAGCAAAAACAACAATAATACGACGTTGTTTGATTTGATTTCGTACACATTTATACAAAAATGCATATTGTCATGAAAGTCAATCGCTAAAAACAACAACAAAAATATGGCCAAAACCGTACGAATAACATTAAACTAACGTAGCAACAGACAAGTCAATGAATTATTTCAAATTAAAATCTTTGTGTTAAACTTTAAAAAAATATGTGTTATTTCAATGCAAAATAAGAAAAGTGAATGAATTCCATCAATTAAGTAGTAACTGAAAGCAGTGCAAAATATTGTCGACCTGGTATGTCCTACAAAGAACATCCACAAAGAATTACAAATTGTTTGAGAAAACTTCCTTTAAATCGACAGGTAATTCTTTTATAAAACCTTAAATTCCAGATAATAGTAAAACACGATTTGCTATTAGTCAAACTTGAAATCGTCACATCGACGAAAGATCCATTTCTGTTAATACACAGTAGACAGAAGGTTTAATAATATTTTACATATAAAATATACACCTCTGTGGTAATATGCAAAAGGATATCGTTTGTTTAGCCAACCTTTTGGGTGAAGGAGGATTGTTTAATCTTCGAGCACTCTTGATTAGTAATTATTTCTTAGGAGATAATTATTTTTAAATCAAAATAACTGCCAAGAACAACAACAACAGCCAACCCTTATTCTTGCTATACTTGTTTAAGCTGTTGGAAATGAAGCTATACTTGTTTACGCTGTTGGTAAATGAAGCTATACTTGTTTACGCTGTTGGTAAATGAAGCTGTACATTGTTTACTTTCATATGCATTTCTGTTTGATTTCACTCTTGCACAATCTATACAAGTTTTCTATCTATGCATATTTATAAAATGTACTACAAGAACTGTAGTAATCAAGGTGGCGCTAGTGATCACAGGTCTCATATGGTATAGAGCAAAGCATTTTACCTGAACAAGTTCTGCTATTCTGTGAGTCAATCAGTAGCTGTAAGAAATGCAGGTGGTCTTATTGATCACAGTCCTCATATGATATATATAGCAAAGCATTTTACCTGAACAAGTTCTGCTATTCTGTGAGTCAATCAGTAGCTGTAGAAATGCAGGTGGTCTTATTGATCACAGTCCTCATATGATATATATAGCAAAGCATTTTACCTGAACAAGTTCTGCTATTCTGTGAGTCAATCAGTAGCTGTGGTAATGCAGGTGGTCTTATTGATCACAGTCCTCATATGTTATATAGCAAAACATTTTACCTGAACAAGTCCTGCTATTTTATGAGTCATTCAGGAGCTGTGGTGATGCAGGTGGTCCTAGCGATCACAGCGGGGACTGTTTTAACGTGCAGCTCAGATAGTTTTGTGTTTCCAAAAGTTCAATGTGCAGTTAGAAATTGAATTTTGTGCAGTTGCATTTTTCCATGTAAATGCCCGAGAGCTGCAGAATCACAGATGTTTCTCTAAAACATGTACGACACATTTTATGGATATTAATCACCAGATAAAATTTTAATAAAAGTTTCACGAATCTATATAAGTATAATAGTAGTGTCTGTTGTACGTCCATGTATCCATGGAACTACTTCGCAGGGTTTTGGTGGATATTCACCCACTTTAATATGGAGGTTCATTGGGTCCATGGGGAGATACATACAAAGTTTCAGTTTTGCATTTTCGTTTTGCGGTTTTTATGGGCGTTTTTTACCACTACTTCGCCCCCTGTTGATGGACCTTCACTAAATTTGGCATGAAGGTTTGTTGGGTCCGTGCGGAGATACATGCAAACTTGCGGTTTCACGTTCTGTGTTTTACAGTTTTTATGGGCGTTTTTTACCACTACTTCGCCCCCTGTTGATGGACCTTCACTAAAT